CTATGGGAACCGCAGAAGGTCGAAGCACAGCTATGTGCGCATTTGTGGTCACTCCCGCTGTGGCTGCAGCTAGTGCGCATCTTACCATTGTCTACATCGCTTGTCACTGCACCTCCACTAAGTCATGCATTTAGATCCAAAATGAAAAATTCGAAATGGACCGAGTACGGTTCTAACTGTGAAGAGGCACAAGATAAGGGCAAATTGCCAGTGGCGTTTTCAAATCAGGATGTGGGCGACTTGAACTGTAAACAGTGATTCTCTAGGCATCAACGCTCTGTTTTTCGACGCCCACAAGAAGTGCATAAGACTATGGGTGCGGCAGCGATCGCCCAAATTACAGTATTCACGTCATGGCAGAATAGGGGGAAACTCTTGGGTAATAAGTAACGGATCAGAAATCGATTCGAAGTTTGGAGAGCTTTCTTTTTTTTAGCGTATTGAGAGGGTGGGTTCATTAAGTTTATTCTCTTCAGAAAGTGCGTTCCCACGCGTTTGGCATGTGGCTAGCACTCCTCGTGCCTTTTCACACGGCGGGTGTAAAATTCGGATTTTAGGATGCACTGGATATGCCTTGCGGCATTTTCAGCTCACACTCATGCATTAAACACGATGGAAGCCCACACAGGCAACTCTAAATACTTAACGAAAAATTGTCGTCAAGGTGGCCAAGTGCACCAAGCAAGGCATATCCAGTGCATCGTAAAATCCGAATTTGAGTTGTAAGCATTTTCTCACCGTGACAAATTGACTGTCATTATCTGAGTCCTCGCTTTAGCAACTCCGTACAGATGGTGTGTCATCTGTAAAGACCGCATTAAGCTTACCAACCGTGGCAGTTGGCCCATATTTCCTATGCAAAGCTTGCCATACGCATGGGGCATGGGGCCTCAGCCAGCTGAATAATTCTATTCCCAGGAGCCATTTTACACGACAAGACAGGAAAATGCAATGGCGGCATCTTGGAAAACTCTGGACCAACAGTATTCATGTTTGCTACGGATAAATGTTACTTTGCGAAGCTCGTATGTAGCAAACAGGTCTCTGCACTGTCACTGTGCTCTACTCCTTGGGTAGCCGTGGACTTTCAAGTTCAATCGACGTTTTAAGTAATTCACGACTTGTGATTTTCGGGTATTAATATTATAATGGCACAGTCGGGCTTTTGAAGTATTTTGACAACGAATGGTCCCATGAGGTCTTTCCGTGAACCGCAGTCCATTTGCGGGGTAGCGCTGGTAATTTTGAAAACAGGAAGTTAGTTTCTGGGAGCACTTATGCCGATTTCAACTGAAGAGTCTGTGCCTTAACTGCATGTTGTAACTGGTGTACACAACCACGGTGTCAACGCATTCTTCATATTGTGCAAACTGAGCAGTCGTGGAGTATCATACTTTGCACAGCACAGAGAAGCTGCAGGTAGCACCTTGCATGGTAAACTGCATGCGAGAGTTCATCGGTAGCAGAAATTCTGCTCATTTGATGGAGGTGTTGGTACCATCTGCCCATCATGTGCAGTCAATACTGACCGTGAACCATAGGAGGTACGTCTGCGCATTTAATTGAGGCAGGCTTTGGCTGTCATTATTCTGGAACTTGGGAGAGTGCACTTCGCAGATGGACTAGCAGGGCGAGAGCTGCGAGACTGCACCATGAGGCTGCGGCCATTGATTCGACGCCTCTGAACGTCCTTTGGTAGGTGGTTCCTCGGAAGACCAGGAGGTGGGTTCTTGCTTCTATTCAGTGAAGAAATGAATAGTCAACATGCACTCCTCGACCCAGCATGCAGATGTTCCCCTACCGTTTGCTCGTTATTGGATTCCATAAGTTCTTCTTATCGGGTTAATAGTGGCGAAACGTGAATGTTTCTCCGGCTCCTAACACCCTGTTCATGCTGCTTTACGTATTGGTTACCTTGAGTGTGGGCTGTAGATAGTGGGTCTCCTAAACAGAAATGCTGCATGAAGGTGGTTGCATGAAGACGTAGCCGCAGCTTCTCTCATAATAAGGAAGGGCAGCCTTGCGCTATATGTCCAAGAGAACGGAAGTGAACAACATGTGGCGGACACTGAGGTCGGGAGAAGTCTTCTCATGTCCATTACAAAAATAGCAAGTGCGATAGCGTCTTCCTTTATATGGTGTCTGTTCGTCCTACGCATGTATATTCTATAATAGGAGGTGTTGGACGCACGATACCTCCTTTCTGCTGTCAACTGAATACGCATTGGCGAAGCAAGTACGTTTCCGTTTGGCAGAGCCTTAATTATGAGCTCCCGCAGCAGGGAAAGTTTCATTTGGTCTGCGGTGATTCGACGGCCCTTTGTTTGCTGCATCTCTTTTGGCAATCGTGTCCGCAGTTGCCCCTCACAAACTGACTCCAGCCTCACACTGAAGGGGGCTTGCTGCTTGCCTCTTCTTTATTGCGCAATTGAGCGCTGTGTGCACAAAGCTATCTTTGTTTTTGTTCCTACATATCTAGTCCATGAGAATGCAGTGAAGAGAAGCCGTAACTGAAGGGAGTGCGTTCACAGTTCTTATGCTGCAAACGCGATGCAGATGTTTTTCAGCAGCTGTTTTTAGTCTTCTGGTGCACAATTGCCGAGAGATGCTCGAGCATCGCTAGAGTGGTAGCATTTACCATAATTAGAGCATACACAGGTTCCAGTGGTATGCAGCTTTTACCGTTGACGATATCAGCTTCCAACCCGACAAGAAGGTTCACATAGAATCAATCCTGCCAGCAAGTGAGACTTGCGCATCAACCACTGGTGCCCCTCACTCGATTCAGCTCTCTGAGAGCGGAATGGTCTATTCCAAAGGAGTAGAAATCAAGATGCTTTTGATGGAGAACATGTGGATATTTGCTTTCTTTTATCCCTAGGAGGAATCTGCATTTTGTTTCCTAGATGGTAAGTTCATGTTTTGCAAACGGACCACGAGGCTCTTCAGTTTTCGTTGCACCTGAACGTCATCATTAGGAAACGAATTCCCGACACCCCTTATGCTTCAAGAATTGTTCGGTTTTCCCTAAACCGTAAAATCTGTTGTAGGTCGTGCGTTTGCACTGGGCTAGTTTACTTCTAAATAAAGGCGTCGGTAGTTCCAGGAATGGGTCTCCTGCAGGATGCCACTTGCTCGAGGCGTGCATATACCTGCTCTTTGGCGGGCTAATGCGTCTAATGGCACATCAAAGGCCTCTTAATAAAAGTGCATATAGGTAAGTGTATATCCATTGCGTTGTTCGCTAAGCGCGTGTGAGCAGTGCGTAAGTTCGTTTGGGCTGGCTGTGTTGAGGCCTGGAACGTATCATGACCCCTTCCCTTTTAACTTTACCCGCCCTAAATTGCCACGACTATAAACAGTGACCTTCTGTATGGCTTACTTATGTAAGAGTGAGCATGTTCACCAACTTCTCGCCAGGGGGAAGACACGGTGAGATCAGAACTGGCACTTCCTTTTGCCACCTTCGTACCGTTTTCTAAAGTACTGACTTTATGTGGACTTGAGCGCAGGCGGTGCGTTTTTGCGCCATGAGCTGTTCGGTGTTGAATGTGGACATGATCACACCTTGCCTGTCTAATGTGGAATCAGTTGTTAAAGAAAGAACTACCCTGGTTGCTCGCTAATAATTTTGGATCTCTAGAATATATGCATTGCACATATCTTATCCCTTCGCAGGCTCGTTGAGCATAGGCAGCAGGAGGATCCCTTTAAGCACATTGGGTTCCTTTGAAAACTCACTATTAATTGAGCAGAGGATAATGTTACAGATAATACATCTTGAAAATAGAGAGTAAGCATTTCTGGTTACGGAGCTCAGCATGTTCAGCACGATGGCACGGAGAGAGCAGAGATATTATTCCCGTTTGTGAGCTGCAGGTCTTGTGAAGTGGTTCAGAACCTGCACAGAAGCATTTAAATATGTTATCGACATGCGCCTACAACTGACGACAGATAGTACGTTCGCCTTCCCGTATTAAGAGCTCACTAAGAAGTTGATAGAACGTCAAATTGTGGCCCGGTCAGGATATTTGTATCCCATATACATTTGCCGTTGGCTGAATAAATAGGCGATGAAGCCGTAGCTTGGTAAAACTGCCGTAGATCGTGAGTGTCCTCCAGTATAAGTCCCCAAAAGTCCGTCAGGGCCGAAACGAGGTGACGCGGCTCCATTCCAAAGTGAAGTAGCACAAGGATCACTGGGTGGCTGGTTCTGTATTGCTCTTAGTATTTTTGTGTCCGAAGATATTTTCTCCTTCTACCAGCAAGTACGTTCTTGCTCTGCTCCTGTAATAGACGCCGTTTCCTTGATGCGGGATTTATCTGACTTGAAGGTGGCACTGTGCGCATATCCTGCACAGCTACTCTGCCGAGGCCTTCACCAAATTAAAGGACGTGCGTTGCGCATATTACCAGCTACTATAGGGACAGTAGCTGGATAGTCGGCACTTGAACGACAGTATTGGGGCCGGAGCCTCAACAGCCGGACTGAGCAGCGTCGCATTGATAAGCGTAGTTGGTACGTCGAGAGTATTACCAACGCTGTTCGGGCCTACGTTGGTGTGGTGAGTACGGCGACCATCAGTAGTTCCCATACGCAGCGTTCACTAAATTTTGGTGTTGAAGAGAACTTTGCCTAATTTTATGGCTACCTTTTGAGAATCTCGCTTGATTTCTGCGGATTGGGTTATCACCACATACTCCATATCAATTTGTAAGAGGGTGCGTTTGCTCTAACCTTCCCCAGCCGCCTGCTCTGCAGAAAACGGGATGCTCCAACGACCTTGCCGCTAGTGATTTTGCTACAGTAAACAGGTGTATGTCTCACTTCGCCTTGCTTCAGGTAAAACGCACAGTAGAAGGTTTAGGCCGGGCCCAGGTAGCCAACTCGGTCATGTAGAAGTTAGTAGTGCCAATTTTTAGTAGCAAGAGGGTTCAGAGATTGGTGCTGCACTATTTCCGGTGGCTTGTGTATGCATTGCTGACGAACCACTGCAAAGATGAGCTTGGATAAAGAATGTATGTGGCGATTTCCAGCGCGGAAGGGGAGTAGTTTGCTTATCGCTTTCCCTGAAGGTGAAAGGATGGCACTGCCAAGGTAAGACGAAATCAGATATTCAGTGGAAATATCTTAAACACAGTCGAATAAACGTAATGACGTACGTTGAAGCACCTGTATTGGAGGTCGCCGTCATACACAGCTGGTATGTGAAAAGACGAATTCCTTTAGCTGAGCCTAGAGTGGCTGACAATGCGGCATTTTCTGCCCGTAGGGTTACAGTGCATGTGCGTGCACGTTGGGATGCTTTTCGATGCAGGCTCACTGCAAGACGCCACTGTCCAGCGTTCAATGAGCAAAGAACGCTTATAAAGCTCACGATGAGCAATTGTGATGGTACTTTCCTGACAAGCGGCGTCCCGCTTTTCATGAGCGATGAGGGGAATCGGTGAGTCCTGCCATATTGGTGGCCGTGACTGGCGCTGGTTTTGCATGATGCTTCGGCTTCATAAAAATATGCCTTCAAGGCTTTGGTTGAAGTGGTTGCGTAGATGGGAATGAACATTCTTTTATGTGCACTGTACGTCGTGGAGCAGGGACACTTTTAAGAGAGTTCATTAGCATGTTCATTATTCGTGCTGGAAACTATCTTAGCAGAAGGGAGCGGACAAACACGATAGCACTTTGGCCTGAATCGGCGGTTTGACAGACTTCTGTTGTGGGGAAGCCGGCGGTACAGGCAAAACTGCGGAGTGTTTTGGATAGCTCCAGGCCTTACCGTGACGTAGAGGTTCCGTACCGAGAAAAGCAAATGCAACACGATGATGCATTTGCTATTTCGAATGCAAGTCATCTGGAGTGGTTGGTCACTAGGTGAGCAAAATCGAATGATCCCTACTTCTATGCGTAATTGCGCAAGCTGGCGGGTTTGTGAGCCATTTATGTGTTGGCCATGCGCAATTGACGCGCACGATGCTTCTAAGGAAGTACCTCCATGTGGGGTCCTTTTGCAAAACATTCCACCAGGGTGTTCGAGCAAGCCGTGGAGGGAACATTTTGCAATGCTGCATACAGTGAAACAACCAAACATTCAGCGACGGTTCCTCAACGCTCACGCGCATCTAGTCTTCATCTCCTGTCGTAGGAGGCTGCTTCATTTATGCTACCTGAGCTTCGGTATGCGCTGCAAAGTTGCATGTGGTGACAACATAATTAGTAGTGGATATCACCGTCCTTTGGCATCCTAATTGAACGAGAGCGAAATACTCTATTCATGAAGGAACATAAATATGCCACGTTTTGTGGTTTGTATCTGAAGGCATCCTACGTAGATCTCCTGTGTTTGGCCATGATAAGGACAGCAAACAAGCTAGAGTGATCATTTGTTTCTTAATAAAGAAAGTATGTAAAAGGAACGTGAGGACAGTTTGACAGAACTAAACATATACAAGAACAAAACTAATTATTTTACTCGCCTTAGGCTCTGGAACAGGTCCTAGCTGAGCCAGATGTGATATTAATCTTTCACGCAGCTTGTGCGTATTGGCATACTAGAGCTATGCATCTGCTTCAGCATCAGTCGTTCTAAGGCTGAATACAAGGGTATGTGCACTTGTGTAAGTAATCCACGGACTCGTCAGCTGCCGGGCCTAAACAACTGCGACCTTCTTCTACCAACTGCAGCCTTCTTGTAGAGTAGGGTTATGGGGTCGTCCTGTGTAACACGCACTCAATTCAGGAAGTAAGAATTCTTCAGATGTCGTGTAGGATGCAAAGGCTCAATAGGACGAGAGTAGCAAAGCGTGCTGTTCTCTTAGTACCAATATGTAACGTCTAAAGCACATGTTCTTGCCAGCGTGTCTTTTTGCTACGGTTCTTACTATCATTGTCTCATTAATTATCCCCAATTCTCTGGAGCATTTTCCGGGCAAAACGGTCTTTACATTGTCGAAGTGCTACTGGTTCAGTACGCATACCAGCGCAGGATCATCAGGTCAAATCTGCCATCGAGCTGCAGTTGGTGCCTGTGGCACCATGGAATATTCTGTTGCCTTCGGAAGGGGTGCATTGCAATGCCAGCAATGATCAACTGTGCAGCTAACGTAAAGCTACCGAAGTATTCCACAAGATTTTCCATGCACCGAGAGAGCCGAGCGAGTGCTGCGCTGCCGAGGCTTTCGCATAGCATTGGGGTGGCAGGGGAGCCATAGATCGCTGCAAAGATGTTTAGATGCAGGAAAATTGTGTGCCAACAAACGAAATGTATCGGATTCTGCAGGAATGCGCATGACACGAATGCCTGAGACTTGTAGTTTTCTCAAGGTGTTAAGTAGTCACGTCTCGTACTCTCTGCTTGGTGGCTGTCTAACAGCAAGTGAGCTTTTGTTTGGCAGTCACTTCCGACTTTTGTCCTTCTTCAAGCGAACTGTGGGTTGGCGGCCCTTAACAACACAGACTGAACCTTAGGCCTAACAGCTGTTTATCGCATGCCAGTCGCCTACGTTCGTAAAAACTATATTCACTGCCTATGCAGGCTTCATCTGGATTGTAAGTGCCTAATTGTGATACTCCTCACATCCTCAGCTCGTGAGCTGCGTGCATGAAGCATGTGCAGCATTTAGTCCGTCACGCACTAGCGTGAGCAGTGTATGTAATACATAATGTCACATCTGGTTTGCTAATATATGTTTGACGCCCCCAAATGTTTTAGCTCGTGAGTTGCTTGCATGAATCCTGTGACCACTTTTTCTCCCGTCGTGGATATGTGCACAGTAGTGCATGAGATGCTCCCCTGCTTGAGTAGGACCCGTACCGGTTAGGAAGCGGTTTTGGCGATCGTCGGTTTTTGTCGAGAGTTGACCATGCTGGCGCCCGTATTGCAGTTCCGTCAGTAGACGACATGCCGTGCATGTAGCTGGTACGCCATATAGGGGAACGTGTACATTCGAGGGATGTGTCATTCGTAGATGTGGTGCTGCTTCAGTGTGTCCTCAGTTATTATGGTACCGCTAAATTATGTATGGGTCACCTGACTACTTGCATCTTGTTAATTGGCGAGGTTCAAGTAATATACACTATCAAACCCCCTTTGTTCGACTCTAGAAAGTAAGTTCCCCTCGCTCATATCCATACAGCTAACGTGAAGGTAGGGAGCAATTATAATTATAGAACACTTCAAGTTGTGAAAACAATGTTATGTTGCTGCTGGCTCTATTTGCAGCCATCTGGCTGCAAAGAATGCATCTGCAGCCCTCACAGGTACTTTCCCTGCACCTCATTGTAAATGCCTGGGCATCTTGTAGCAGCGCAGTTAGTGCATTTAGTCCAAGATGAGCACAGATAGTGAGCTGCTGGCGAAGGCGATACCTACTGATGAAGGCTTGATAGGGACTGGAATGCATTGCACACTGCTCACGTGGGTTGGGGAGCCGTAAGTATGACCACCTGGAAGCGAAGATGCTGGCTGGTCGAGGAGCTGTATGGCGTTGCCGCAGGTCATTGCGATAGGCGGAGCCCTCCAAGCAGATGTTCCTTAGTTTTGGGTCGTTGCATAACCCGGCTTTAAAACGTGCCCCTTCCCGCACCCCTACACGGGAAAGCTCAAGTTGCAAAGTTTTAAATAAAGTTAATTTCCCCCTCCTTCTCATAAGGGTCTCAGTTTAGTATACCCTTCCTGCCACATTCTTTTGTGTTGTCACTCCTGTGGTCCTCTTATAGTGAACTGCCGGAATCGTGTTGCAAAGTTTTAGAAAAAGTTGATTTCCCCTTCCTTCTCATAAGGGTCTCAGTTTAGTATACCCTTCCTGCCACATTCTTTTGTGTTGTCACTCCTGTGGTCCTCTTATAGTGAACTGCCGGAATCGTGTTGCCATCGCGAGCAGGCACCAGCAAGCAGGCACGTTCGTGAAGTTCATGGAATAGGATTTCCTAATAAAACATTCGTGGCCACTGCGGTGAAGGAATGTCTTCCTGCTGAGGGGGGTAAAGCTTAGGGATCTTGTAGTATCTTCGCCTTAACGGGATTCCGGTGTGCCCTTTACGAGCTTGCAGCAGAAGACTACAAGTATTGGATTTATTGATTTAGAGACTGATTGATTCTGGTAAACGCGGTCTCAAGGAGCTCAAGGACTTGATCTCATATCTTAGAAGGTGCGTTTTGATTTCCATGCAAATCGATATATATATATATATATATA